TTGGGCACGGGCCAAGTCGAGCCCAACTTTGAAGGGACCAGACCGAACCTAGGTTTAAAAGAAACAGGTTAGGCCGAGGCGGGTACAACAAATTTTAATACAAGAACCGGACCTAACCCATCCACGGGTTTTTTTTCTTTCTTTTTCCTCTTCTTTTTTAGCTCTGTCGATCGTTCCAAGAGATGTTGGATCATGGCAACAAGAATGTAAGCCTTCTAATTCTCTTCTTCTTCAAGTCTCTTGTTCCCATTTAACCCTTTCAATCCCTACACAAAGATTGGGGGATTCTCCCCCAACCTCAAAACCCTCAATCCTGAAAATGGAAATCACACCAGCAATTCATACTTAAGCCTAGCCACACCAACAGCTTCGGTTGGAGCCGCTGACCCTGATGCACAAATCGAACCAGAGAGACGTCGTCTTCTTCACGGATCCAAGATCTCCACCCTTGCCATTACAAATTACACCAATTGATGAATCAAAACAAAATCTTACATACCCAGAAGCAGATTTTCCCAAAAGCACTTATTATGCAATCACAGTCCCAAAAACCCTAAATTCCCAAATCGAAAACCCACATAATTCCTAAATCAATTGAAAAGCTTATGCAAAAATCTTAAATTCCTAATTCAAAAACCCTAATTCATAAATTACCTAGGGATTTGCAGGATGATGGTGGTGTTCTCGACAGCAAGGATGATGTGGTAGTGGTCGAAACTTGTGATTGGGTGGACTGGTGGAGAGTCAGGAGAGGATGCCACGATGGTGATGGTGGCTGGCTGCTGTGATGTCGACATAGTCGAGGTTGACTCAGTTGCTACAGGTGGAAGGGAGAATGAGAAAGTATGGATAGTCGATGGACGAAGATGGGCCTAGGCTCGAGATTGAGGTATGAGACGAAAGAGAAAAGAAGATTCAAGGAGGAGAGATAAGAGAGTTAACGCCCATTGTGAGTGCTTCAGTTGGGAATTCAAGGGAGAGATAATCTATCTTTGTTGAAGAGAGTAGATGGTGCTGGTTACATTAAGGAAAACAGATGTGGTGTCGGAGTCAAGATAGAGACCTCGAGGTCAAGGCTCGAATTCTAGAGAGGGGATAGTTGAGTCGAGTGAACTGGGTTTGAGAACAAGAGAGATAGAGATGATGATGGATAGAATAGATGGTATAAATTTAATAAGGTAGGAAATCAACGATCCGAGCTGGGAGGCCGTTTTCTCCAATTTCTAGAACCAGCCCACCCCGTTATTTACCTAGACTTACCCCCCCTCCCGGCCCCATTTTGTATTTATAATTTGTGGACCCGCCCCAAACCGCATAGATCTGCACCGACCCGTGGGTCCATAATCCATTTGCCCACCCCTAATTTCATGTGCTTATAAATAGTAAAATTACTTCCCATATTACCGATTGTAATTGTATAATGCAACTTTAAGCTTCTTCAATATGTTTGCAAGCATTTCTGTGGTCGCTTGGGCCTTTTTTTTTAATTTGTATTTTTGCATGTTAGAGAAAAGACTAAACAGGGATCTTTGGAAGAGATGAAAATGCTTTTTTATAGAAACACTTGTGATTTGATTCTAAAATTGGAAGTTACAGACGGTGTTGGAATGCAGTCAAAAAGCAATGGTAGCAATTTACAATATAATAATTTGGAGAGCATATTAGGTGAAGCTTTGTATAGATGTATACATGGAGACAAGAACATTTTGTTATCGATCTTGTCAATAATTCTTTCACCGGGTCAATACTTTCTTTTTCTTTTTTGAAAAGCGACAAAAGAGTGATTCATTGATTAAAATCAAACAATACAAAAAGGTGTCATTATGGATACATATTTTTTACTAACCAAATATTGATTGGATAGAAATTTTCCCATCAACCACATCAAATAAACTCCTAAATGGCTACCATCAACAATTACCATAAACACGAACAACAAACAATACAAATTTAATGCATAGACGATAGACACAACAAGTTTAGTATTGAATAATCACACAAAGTCATCACTAAAACAAGCGAGGCCACATCAAACACTAAAACTGTAAAGCTACAATAACTTGTCGGAGTAATCACAAAACAGGTTACAAAACAGATCACAAAACAATTAACTAGATAATTGGCGTATGAAACCAGCAATCAATTCGTTTTCATCGTGAGGGCCACCGCTTTTAGGAAGATTTGTCACCTCCATCGAAAGAGCTATCATAGATCTATTCAGATAAGACGGCTCAGTTGTGGGTTAGCCGATGAGCGCACATGCACCATGGAAACCAAGTTTTAGAAGGTGAATCCGACCCCCTACAACCACAAATCTGCCCATAACCACGAATCAGGGCCAAATTCAAAGGCATATTTGGTTTTGGAAAGAAAACTCCCAACAAACTTTGGAGATTTGTCGGCAAAAATGTGGGAGAGAGAATGGGAGTAGGAGAAATGCAAAGTAAAAGCAAGTAGAGACGAGAACACATAAATGATGCATGGAAAGCCAAAATGAGGGAGATGGGAGGGAAAGGGGTAACGCCGTAGGAGGAAGGGAAATGGAGAGACAAGAAGAAGTACTATAGGAGGGTGAAGATAGTTGTTGGGACCAGCGGCTGAGATGTTGTGAGATTTAGGTTTTTTTAAGAAGAAATGCTAGAGAGAGCGGTTGTTGGGGTTTTTATTTTACCATGTCAATAGTATTTTGTAACATCGTAAGAGTAATGCAACCATATTTCTTATACTACATTTGTACTACCCCTCTAATAGAAGTAGGGTTCACACACACATGTGAGTCTCATCTCTATTACAAAGGTGATATAACTATGGTCTGAAAATTATGGTAATAGTAGTATTTTTTACATCGTAATCATTTACGTCTCTTACAAAAAAGTAATGTTGTACTTACTATATTTTTCATACCACATTTGTACCACCTCTCTAATAGAGATATGCCCACTAACATATGTGGGTCTCATCTATATTAGAGAAATGATACAAATGTGGTATGAAAAATATGGTAAAAGTAGTATTTTTGTAAAAAAATAAAAAATAAAATAAAAACCACTAAAACACATACATGAAGACAAGAATACTTTGTAATTTAAAGGATTTAAAGACACAGATATACAATTGTTCAAGTGGGCCATGTTAGACTATAAAGGTGCATTTGTTGCATCTGACTATCTCGGATTTGACTAGCTTCAAGGGCTAAGCTAAATTGGCTTAGAATAAACTAAACTAGACTAACTGACTGAAGTATTTGATGTAGTGGCGGACTAAAAAATTGATAATTAACAAAGTATTCTATAATATTATATTATTTAATACATATTTAATACTACTTTATTATTAATTTAACAATTTTCTTTTTCTTTTTTTTTTTCTAGAAAAACTCTACTCTCTCAGGAAACTTCTCATTTTCCCCCTTGTTAGCTCTGTCCCAACTCTCCTTATCTTCCTTTTTTCCCCTCTGTCTCTCTTATCTCTTCGTCCCCAAACTTGTTTTCTCCACTCAAAATTGTTCGCAGAGGTGACTAGAGCAAAGGATTACCATTGCAAGTCTTCAACAATGTTTCACAGCTCTGTTATTGCGTTATCAATCCTAATTTCACGAATTCAATAGTAACTTCTCTATTCAATTAGCCAGTTTTGAAGCGTGAAGCTATCAAAACTTCATTCATATGCACGATTTGGTGCAGCGGTTTATTATTCTTTTTTCGAATTTTGGTATTTGGAATTTGAGATTTAGGCAGTCGGTGTGGCCGTGTCGGCTGTGAGCTGCAGTTGCCCCTTTGGCTCGGGCCATGGAAAAGCAATTGCTTGGCCACGGTGATAGCGTTGTAAGAGAAAGATGGTGAAGCCCAGGGACTGGATGTTAGGGTTTAGCAAGCGCAAGCTTGGGTCTAGATTGTTGAGAATGAATCTCACATTGATGAGAGAATGACCTTGCATAGGCTTATAAGAGGTTGGGCTATTCCTCATATTGTCAATTGGTTTTATGCAGGAACTCCAACTTTTTTCATTGTATCAGAGCAAGTTGTATCACGTGTGAAGCCAAACAGTCATATGCGCTTCCAGTCACCCCATTGTATTGTTCACATGTTAAGCTTATAAGAGGTTGGCCACACTAGAGGGGACGTGTTGAGAATGAATCCCACATTGATGAGATGAGGGACCTTGCATAGGCTTATAAGAGGTTGGGCTATTCTCCATATTACCAATTAGTTTTATGGAGGAACCCCAACTTTCTTCACCTCAACTTTCTTCATGGTATTAGAGCAACCAAACGGCCACACGCGCTTCACATCATCCCGTTGTGTTGTCCACATGTCAGGCTTAAAAATTCACCACACGGGTGTGTTGAGAATGACTCTCACATTGATGGAAGGATGGACCTTGCATGGGCTTATAAAATGTTGGGCTACTCCCCATATTGCCAATTGGTATATGGTGGGACCTCAACTTTCTTCATAGATGTCGGCCACTTTTTCATTTTAATCCTGCTTAATACCAAGCGAAAGTTCAGGACTCTTAAACGGGGTTTAGCAAAGTGAAGACAACCTCCTAGTCGAGATGAGTCTCATTTATTGTAGTCCAAGACCAAACCAAACATAGGATTATAATCCTACTTATGCCAGTCTAAGCCAGTCCCACCTAAGAAGGTGTAACAAAGGCACCCTAAGAAACCTTTTTTTTTACTAGTAAGAACATAATTATATGATATTCAATTTAGTTTAAAAAATATGACTTAATTATGCACCTAAAATAGAAAGTTAAAAAAATCAAATCCATCTATAAATCTTGCCCACATGACACCTACAAGCAAGGAGAACCTTTGGCAAATTCACAGCCACCCCCATCCTCTCATCATCCCCACTTTCTCCACATAGCTCCCTCTTTTCCCTCATCAGATTTGAGGAAGGAGAGCAAGGCGTTTTAATTAAGCCCTTGACTCTAAGTCTCTCTCTTTTTTACTTTCCTTTTCACCTTCTCTCTTTTATGAGATCATAATACACATGAGGAAGCTTTGTCCAAATATTGATAAAGAAGATGGCCTCGAGACCGTTCTTGAGGTCCCCATACCAGAAGAGATGTTCACGAGTATGGGAAGCAATGTGCAATTGCGATGGCAAAACATGTTAACGTGGATGAAGGCTCAAACTTCTGACAAATGGTCTGCGCCGGTCATCGCCGGACGCTTAAACGAGCTGCGCTTTTTGCTTTACCTTGTTGGCTCTCCTCTCATCCCTCTTCAAGTTCAATTGGGACATTCTGTACATCGTCCAGTTAGAGATTCTTCCATTGTAAGAATCATCAATCCATCTGATAGTTATTATTTACTTAGATTTTGTTACGGATTTCTATTGTTGTTACGTGAAAATGAATGGTTATATGGCATCTAACATCTTTACTTGTTATGTTAATGTTATTGATAAAATCTCAAACTAATGACGAGTTGAGACAATTCATTCGAATGAGTACATAAAGAACTTGCGTATTGTCCATAAATGAGAGAAGAATTAACAACCAAATACATCAAGCAATAATTCCACTCAATAATGAGAATCTGAGTGCAGATGAAAAAAATGAGAATCTGAAGATCACTTCCTATGCTTGAAATAATCACATAATTCCACTCAATATGTGACAGCAAGCTTCAACAGCCAAATACATCGTGCAACAGTACACAGCCGCAACGGGAGGGCAACCAGCACTGAACTCGGTGAAGAGCATGTGTGTGACCGGCGAGGTTAAGATCAGTGCATCGGATTTTCACCAAGGGGACGTGAGCGTTGAGGTGAAAAGGAGATCAGACGAGAGGGGTGGTTTCGTGCTGTGGCAAAAGAATCCGGACTTGTGGTGCTTAGAGCTTGTTGTGTCTGGCTGCAAGGTCATCTGTGGAAGCAATGGCAAGCTTTCATGGAGGCATTCCTCTAACCAACAAGCACCCGTCTCTCAAGGCCCTCCTAGACCCTTGCGTCGCTTTCTGCAGGTATATATATATACACATATTTTCAACATTTTCTTATTTACTTTGGACATAATTATGAAAATAAATATATTCTTCCAAATGATTTGCGCACGCCCTTTTTCACTTTATGTACACTTCTCTTGTTATCGGATACAAATAAATCAAAGAAAAATCAAATGTCAGAATGAAGAGAGCGTAGAAGGTGAAAATGGTGTGCACAAAGTCTACTCCCAGCCAGCTCGACCATCAAAAACCTAGTCTCATCTACTTGAATCCGTTCAAGTTCTCAATCTATTCAAAACCCATTAGTACGTTCACACAGAGAATTTGTTCATACAAGTAGGATTTTTACATTTCTTGACAATTCTTGAGTGATTAACTTACTTCGTGGCACTGACAATGTGATATGAACATGAACACATGCAGGGTTTGGATCCAAGGGCCACGGCCAATCTATTCGCAGATGCAATGTGCATTGGTGAGAAGATCATCCACGACGATGATTGCTTCATTCTGAAGCTTGAAACAAATCCAGCAATTCGTGAGGCACAGAGTGGTCCAAATTATGAGATAATTCACCACACAATATGGGGATATTTTAGCCAGCGATCGGGTCTACTGGTGAAATTTGAGGACTCGAGGCTGCTTAGCATGAAGAACAAAGGGGACGACACGGATGTGTTTTGGGAGACAAGCACCGAGTCGGTGATACAAGATTACAAGTACGTGGACGGCGTCAACATTGCTCACAGTGGGAGGACTAGGGTTAAGGTGTTCAGATATGGTGAGCAGTCTGCAAACCACAAGAGGGAGATGGAGGAAACGTGGAAGATTGATGAGGTGGATTTTAATATATGGGGTTTGACAATGGAGAGCTTTCTGCCCCCTGCTGAAATGAAACAAGGATATAGTTGATTTGATTGAGAACTTTTTTTTGAAATTTATAAGGAGATAGCTGAAAGAAAGAAAATTATGTAAATATTAGTGAGTGTGGAAGTGATACACATGTATGGCAAGTGATGAAAAGATTTCGTAACAGCAATTTTGTTAAGCTGCATAATTGAATTGAAATTTTGTATGTACGTAATTTTTTAAGAGGCGTTTTGATATAAGCGCCTCATTTTTTAATTTTTTAGACTAAACATACACTCTTTTTGAAAATTTGATCAAACATTTTTCTAAAATTTTGGTTATTAATTTCAGTTTTTCACATAAGTTCAATTTTGTTTAGAATTTTAGTTTTTCACGACTTCTCCTGGGCATTTCATTTTCTTTTTTTTTCTTTCTTTTCCTATTATACCTATATTTATGCATTTATTATCCATCTCTATGCATTTTTTTATTGTTTGTTATAATTTTTACTTTTTTTTTTTTGTGAATATGGTAGATTATTTATAAAAAAAAAATTGTCAAAATTTATTATTTAGAAGACCCAACACATAATAAAGATTTGCTTAATTATATAGCTACGTCTAGGTACCTATAATACGGACACTTTTAGTTTTACAGTGGATTTGATTTTTTGTATTTCTCAGTACATTTGGAATGTAAATATACCAAAATTGTTATCTGATAGAGACATTTGGTTTTGTGGTACATTTGAGATTTTTTGTTCATTTGGTCTTTTGGTACAATAGGAATCTAACGTACCAAAATGATTACCTGACAATGGGCACATTTGGTTTTATGATACATTTGAAATTTTGGTACATTTGGTTTCTCTGTATATTTGAAATCTAAACATACCAAAAGGGTTACTTAACAATGGGTACATTTGGTTTTATAGTGCATTTGAATATTTGGCGCATTTGATTTCTTGGCGCATTTGATTTCTTGGTACATTTGAAATCTAAACGTACCAAAAGTCGATACTTTTGTTCTCAAATGTACCATAAGTTTTAAGTATATTTTTTATATATCTATACAGGCAAAAAATATGTATTGAAGACTTTTTATTGAGACAATTTTAATAGAAAGAGTTTTTTTAAACGAGGAATTCGTTAATTAATTTTTTATTTTATTTTATTAAAAAATGTCATTTAATGCATAGAAGGGGATTGATGAAATTAACACCTATTTGTTGTACGCCTATTTGATTGAACGGTCCAGGGTTTAGAGAGAGAAAGGGAGGGCCGGCCACAATTAGAGAGAAGAGATAGTGATTTAATTGTGATGTGTGTTTGATTCACCCCATTATGCCTTTATTTATAGTAGTAGGATAGGTAAAAACATTTCCCTTTAGGATTACAACATTTAATAGGTAATCTACTCCTAATATGAACATAAGATACATTCCCAGATTCCTTAGGATTTACATAATCACATTCCTATTCTAAATATGACTACAACATTTCCCTTTGAGTTTGTAAATACTCAACAAACCATCGCATCAGATCTTCAGTAGATAAGGTAGAATAGTTGATGAAGTCATCGGCACAATGGGTGATCGCGAGTCTCAAATTTAAGGAAGTATGCATTTGTAGTAAAACTCACAAAATATCGCTATGGTAAAACCCAAGGTATGGGGCAAACCTATAGACTAAGGAGAAAAGTGAGACGTATGCATAATGTCTAAAACAAACGTCAAACAGGACGAAAGTAGTGAACTCAACGGAGTATGATCATCCCAGGATGGGTGCCTCGTTAAAACCTTGTTAGGCAGCAAAAACCCAATAGGAAAAATGCTCCTAATCGTAGGAAAAAGAGTACATTAAGATCAAGTGAGTATTCTTCTAGATACTCCCCTTGAGTTAGACATAACTTCTAAATAAGAGAACTACAAGTGACTCAACTCAAATAATTTATGCATACCGATTCCTTGGACGAGCTTCTGAAATGTAAACTTGGGCAATGACTTGGTGAAGAGATTGACCAGGTTGTCCTGGGAACAGATTTGCTTAACTTCAGTGTTCTGATCTTGCTGTTGCTGGTGTGAGTAAAAGAACTTCGGTGCTATATGCTTGGTGTTGTCTCCCTTGATGTATCCCTTCTTTAACTGCTCGATACATGTTGCATTGTCTTCAAAGATCGTCGTAGGAAGATCAATGACTAATGTAAGACCACTAGTGCTTCGAATATGCTCCATAACTTCGCTTAGCCAAAAGCACTCACACGATGCTTCATACAGGGCGAGAATCTCAGCATGGTTTGACGAAGTCGCAACTAGTATTTGCTTGGTAGACCTCTAAGATATAGTAGTATCTCCAATGGTAAAGATATAACCCGTTTGAGAACGTGCTCTATGTGGGTCAGACATATATCCAGCATCTGCATAACCAACAAGGCGATAATCAATCCAAGAACCATAGGAGGCGGTAACACTCGAAGATTCATGGGTATAGAACAAGCCCAAATCTGTAGTACCCTTGAGGTAATGGAAAATGTCTTAACACCATTCCAGTGCCTGCGTGTGGGCGCATTGCTGTATCTTGCCAAAAGATTAATAACGAATAAGATGTCGGGTCTAGTGCATTGATCTAAGTACAATAAAGCCTTAATTACACTTAGGTAAGGAACTTCGGGTTTCAAAATCTCTTCCTTATCTTCATTTGGACGGAAGGGATCTCGTTTAGCATCTAAAGTCCGAACAACCATGGGTGGACTCGAAGGCTTCGCTTTATCCTTATTAAAACGACACAACACATTTTGGGTGTAGTTCGATTGATGTACTAGGATTCCATCCGAACAGTGCTCAATCTCCAAGTTAAGATAGTATTGAGTTTTCCCAAGATCCTTCATCTCAAATTCTGAATTCAAGTGTGCAACAATTTCCTCAAGCTCTACGGGAGTCCTGATAAGGTTCATGTCATCGACATAAATTACAACGATTGCAAATCCGGAATGTGACTTCTTTATGAACACGTATAGGCATAATTCGTTGTTCACATAACCCTGACTTGTCAAATATCCACTTAGACGGTTATACCACATCCGCCCGGATTGTTTTAATTCGTAGAGTGACCTCCTCAACCTAATTGAGAGAGTGTTACGTGGTCTAGAACTATTTGAACCAGTCAATGGAAGTCCTTCTGGAACTTTCATGTAAATTTTCGCATCTAAATCCCCATAGAGATACATGGTTACCACGTCCATAAGCTGCATATTCAGTTTTTCGAAAACTACTAAACTGATTAGGTAGCGGAACGTTATAACATCCATTACGGGAGAATATGTCTCCTAGTAATCAATCCCATGGCACTAAGAGAAGCCTTGCGCTATGAGGCGTGCTTTGTATCGCACTATTTCATTCTTCTCATTACGTTTCCTCACAAAAACCCACTTGTAGCAAATGGGTTTCACGTGTGGTGGTGGAGGAATGATAGGTCCAAACACTTTACGTTTCGCGAGCGAATCGAGTTCAACCTGGATTGCTTGTTTCCAGTTTGACCAATCAGTTCTACGTCGGTATTCATCGACGAAACATGGTTCAATGTCATCGCTAAGCATGATGTTAGCACCTACTGAGTACGTGAATGCATCGTCGACGATCATCTTATTCATATTCCAAACCTTATCCAATATTGCGTAATGAACCGAAATCTCGCGATTCTCGAAAAGGTGGTATGTTTCGTCTGAAGCATCATAATAATCTAGAATAACCTCATGCGCTAGATCGGATGAGTGAGTGATGGTCAAACTCAAACTAGGGTTACTAGTTGGTGCTAATTTCCTCTTTCGGGGTTATGAATCCTTTGAACCAAGGGGTCTACCACGCTTCAGGATCATAGCAGATGATTGGCTAGCCACCAATGTACCTTGCCGTGTGAAGGGTGCGGCCTCCCCATCTTCGGGGACGGTCTGACCTTCTCAGGCGGATTGTTAACATACACGGGGTACATATATCCTTGCAGGTGCATTCATAACTGGTATATGTGATATTGTCACATTTGCTAGATCATTAAAAGCATCTGGCATGCTTTGAGCAATGCTCTGAAGATCTATGATTCAACGTACCTCAGTTTTAGACTGGGCAGTGCGGGGATCTAAATGAGACATAGTGAGAGAATACCACGACAATTCGCGGCATTTTATGGGAACGTTAGCATGCTTATCTCCCCCTAACGATAGGAAGATTGTCTCATCAAAATGACAAACCGCGAAACGTGTGGTAAAGAGATCTTCTGTCAAGGGTTCTAAGTAACGAACAATTGATGGTGAATCATAACCGACATAGATTCCCATTTTTCTCTGAGGACCCATTTTGGTACATAGTGGCGACGCTATTGGCACATAAATGGCACACCTAAACACCCATAAATGCGCGACGTTAGGCTCGTATCCAGTGACCAACTGCAACAGTGAATGTGGTTGGGTAGCGGTAGGCCTCAGGCTGACCAACATAGCTGCTTGAAATATTACATAGCCCCAGGCAGATATCGGCAGTTTGGTTCTCATAACCAAAGTCCGAGCTATCAATTGAATGTGTGTTATGAAAGCTTCTGCCAAGCCGTTTTGGGTGTGAATATGGGGTACAGGATGCTCCACTTCAATCCTTACTGACAATAATCGTCAAAAGTCTGTGACGTAAACTCTCTAGCGTTATCTAGTTGAATCAACTTAATCGGATAATCAGGGTGGTGAGCCCTTAGCTTAATAACTTGAGCTAGGAGTTTAGCAAACGCGACGTTGCGTGTGGACAACAGGCAAATATGTGACCATCGTGTTGATGCATTAACCAACACCATAAAGTATCTAAATGGTCCACAGGTTGGTTGGATAGGTCCACAATTGTCCCCTTGAATCTTCTAAAGAAATTTAGGGGGATCATGAATAATCTTTGTATATGAGGGTTAAGTATTCAACTTCCCTAAAGAACACGCTTTGCATGGCGAAATTCTAACATAGGGATGTAACTTATGCTCGTGTGAAGATTTAAGGATACGGTGCATCATGTCACGTTCATGATGTCCCAAATGGTCATGCCAAAGCAACAAAATGTCCTGGAATGCAGGCATAGGGCCGGCCACACTGTGGGCTTCTATGCCACGAATAGTTGTGATGTACAACCCACTCGGCAGACGTTCCAACTTCTCATGAATACGCTTCTGGCCATATTCATACGAAGTGATACGAAGAAATTCTGAATTATTATCTTTAGTGGTTTCAATATGATATTGATTATCTCGAATATCTCTAAAACTCAACAACGTTCTTCTAGAACATGAAGAATAGAGTGCCTCC